TGTGCTAGCAATGAAGAAAGTTGACAGCTTCGGCCCTAGAGTGGTTGCATAGGAGTCAGCTGAAACTGATAATTAGGAGTTTTAGGCAAACATCTTGCTAGTTTTTGTTTGGTAACCTTTTGAGCCTTTGACCCCAAATATTCCACATAATGCATCAGGCTTCCTCTGTAATCAATACTTCCATTGTCCTGTGATATCATAAAATTACAATCAACATAGAGAAGGGGTTGTAAATTCAAAGCAGAAGAAAAAAATACATTTAGAAACACCATATTATCATCTTGAGCTAGCACATCTCAGGAGTTTTGCTTTCTTGTATCAGTTTGGTTAGAAACTCTTGTTATTTGTGGTATTCTAAATATAGTAAAATCAGTTATTGAAAATTTTGATTTGACAATGTAGTTTAAAACAAAACAGTAACAATAGTATGTACGAAACAGTTACAGGTACGAAATAGTAACAAAATAAATTTGTGTTTAAATAATATAAAAACTGACTTGCTTACAGAACATGAACTGTTNCTGTTATTTGTGGTATTCTAAATATAGTAAAATCAGTTATTGAAAATTTTGATTTGAAAATGTAGTTTAAAACAAAACAGTAACAATAGTATGTACGAAACAGTTACAGGTACGAAATAGTAACAAAATAAATTTGTGTTTAAATAATATAAAAACTGACTTGCTTACAGAACATGAACTGTTATTGAATTTTAGGTAGATCAAGACTAGTGTTTGATACTATATCCTTAAGACAGATTTTGACCCCACACACGGTACTTATGGAAATTAAAGCATCTGTCTTCTAAGATACAATGATCTTCACACAAATAGAAGTAGCTTACTTTAATGTCGAAATGTAATGTACTAATGCTTGCCTTAACTCCGAAATTGATTGATCTAGAATGGTAATGAATCTGGGTTTATATAAACAAATTGCTGACTATTTCGGATAGTCACCATGTGAAAAGACACAACTCAAAAGACACACATGCAGCCAGAAAACACCAACATGTAACTGTTCTCTATGAACAAACACTACTCAAAAATTCAGACTCAAAGGAAAACAAAATCCGAACCAGTGCGAATTTAAATTCACCGGGTACTGAAATTAAATTCTGGTTCAGAATTTCTCGCCCAATTTGTTAAACGAATTTTCTCCAAAAAAAGATAATGCTTGGTTTAAACCACTCCCACTCCCACACCCACACCCACACTAACACTCGTACTCGAGTCCGAGCCTGAGCCTGAGCCTGATCCTATTGGGTTGGGTCATGGTCG